CGAGCGATTCTGTGGTTCTGTGATTCTGTAATCAGTGTGTTCTCACCTCAACCCACACCACAGCCAGACCAGGACCTGCAGCAAAGTGGTCCTTTCTTCCACAGTCTGTGGACACGCACCAGTATGCTCCACCATAGTGGTTCTATCTCCTCCCAGTTACAGTCCCCACCTTTGTACGCTCCTGTCCTACCCATCTCACCTTTCCTGTGCCTCAGTTGTTCTGAGAGCACAGTGGTGCTCACTGCAGGCACACAGCAGACATCCATCCCGAGCCTTCTCCACCTCCACATCTCACCAAAACGCTCTCCTCGTTAGCGTCTATGAGTCTGTGAATCCTTCCTGATCACACAGTAAGAGGGTGAGATTGTTGATAGGGTCACAATCATGACTAGAAAAACTTATCTAGGCAGTAGCAGATAAGCAGGCACCTCTTTATTCACAGCGCTGGGGAGACACAGAGGGGAGCTCCTCTAATTGTGCTCCGACCTGCTACGTTTTCATAGCTTATTTATACACTTTTAACAAAGCAAAACCATACAAGCATGCATAAGGTGATCACCTTTTAATTTGCCCTTTACCTCGATTGGTTCCCCGCTATCACGCCATGTAGGACATTGAATTACCCCTATATGATTTTGACATAGAGAAAAGTTAGGGCCTATTCTTCTCGTCCCCTTTCCAAGCACCACTACACACACATCCTGCAGTCCCTTAACTTTGTAGAGGTCAAAGTGTTCCTTTAACTCTACAGCTGAAACAAATACCTACTTCAACCAGCCAGAATTTTCTCGTGACTATAACAAAATGACCTCGCAAAGGTCGGTGTTTGATGTGCCGTGGTTCAGAAGGAGGAAATGGGAGTTGTCTGGGTGTTGGAGGAGCTCAGGGTGGTTCATCGTGCTCATCATCACCCTGGGCTGATGGTCTACCTAGGGATCAGGGTGCAGCTGGCAGAGAGAAAGGGACATGGGGGCCTTCAGGTTTCAGCTTTGTGCAGCTCAGGGGATCCCCACTTTCCCCTCCTTAACTCCTCAGCCTCCCAGGTGCCCTTTGCTCGCTATCTGGCCATGAATAAGATCACCAACATGAAGCGCTACCACATCGCTAAAGTCTACAGGAGGGACAACCCGGCTACGAGCAGGGGACGCTACCGGGAGTTCTACCAGTGCGTGAGTGTTGTGAGACCACGCTGGGGACCGGTGTGGGTTTTACCAGCGGGGTTGCCTTCAGCTGCTGTGGGGCTGTGTGCTGTGCCACGCCTCAGCTGTGCCAGGAGCCTCTGCCCCTTCTTCTGCCCCCAGGATTTTGACATTGCTGGCCAGTTTGACCCGATGATTCCTGATGCTGAGTGCTTGAAGGTTGTGCATGAGATCCTGAGTGACCTGCGGCTCGGGGACTTTCTCATTAAGGTGAGATCAGAGCTGGAGGGGGGGGGTTCACACCTCAGCACTGGGGAAAGGCACAAAGAAGCAGCTGCAGCTTCCCATACCTCTGAGGCAAGAAGAAACGGCGATGTGGAGGATCCCCCCTGAGCTAAGCGTGCTCTCCCACCCCCAGGTCAATGACCGGCGGATTTTGAACGGTGTGTTTGCCATCTGCGGCATCCCAGAGAGCAAGTTCATATCTGTGTGCTCCACTGTGGACAAGCTGGACAAGGTGAGCATCACGGGGAGATGGCTCCCAGTCCCGTGGGGTGGGAGTCTTGGGCAGGGCAGTGCTGTGGCTGTTCCCATTATGAAGAAGTTCATAGCAGCTGAGCTGTTGGTGTTTGTAAGGGATTTGTGGAGCTCTTGGGAGTGGTTAGAAATAAAGCCCAGTGTTTCCAGTGGTTTCTGTTAATGATTCCTGTGAGAGACGTGGATCATGAGTGAGATGCTGACCGCTGTCTTCCCATGTGATACGAATACGTGAGCTGGTGGAGCCGGTGGGTGATGAGAGTGACCTGCAGCAATGGAGGTTCTTGTTTCCCCTGGCAGATGCCGTGGGAAGATGTGAAGAATGAGATGGTAGGAGAGAAGGGGCTCTCTCCCGAGGCTGCAGATCGCATTGGGGAGTATGTCCAGCTTCATGGTGAGCCCTGGGGGTTGAGCCCTTGGCCTTGTTCTCCCAGGCCAGGCAGGGCCAGCGATGGAGGAGTGCGAGGCAGCACCCACAGCTGGCCAGGCCCATCGTGGGTGCTGCTGGCCTGAGGTCTGGCTCCTTCCTGCAGGTGGCCTGGACCTGATTGAGCAGCTTCTCCAGGACCCCAAGCTGTCCCAGAACAAGCTGGCCAAGGAGGGGCTGGGGGACATGAAGCTGCTGTTTGAGTACCTGACCCTGTTTGGGATCACAGAGAAGGTGAGGAGGTGCGGAGGCAGGAGACGGTGCTGCCTTCATGGCTGGGCAACTGGGGTCCCCCAAATGCCCGCAGTGACAGGGCTCCCCTCATGTCCTACAGATCTCCTTCGACCTGAGCCTGGCGCGGGGCCTGGACTATTACACAGGGGTGATCTTTGAGGCTGTTCTGCTGCAGCCAAAGAACAACCATGTGGAGGAGCCAGTCAGCGTGGGGAGCGTGGCTGGAGGCGGTCGCTACGACGGGCTGGTGGGGATGTTTGATCCCAAGGGACGGAAGGTGCCCTGCGTGGGCGTCAGCATTGGGATCGAGCGGATCTTCTCCATCCTAGAGCAGAGAGTGAAGGTTGGTGCTGCAGATGGTGCATGGGGAGGGCTCTGGGAAGCCAGACATCGTTACAGAGCTCTAAAACTCCACCGTGTTTCAGGGGAAAGGAATTTTGGGGGAGAGAATGGCTCCTTTCATGCCTGTGTCTCCATACACAGAAGACAGAACCCTTTTCTGTGGCACATCAGGTTGCAGCTGTGGGTCGCTGCGGGCAGCGTTTTGTAGCAGATGCCAAGGAAGTGTCAGAGACAGGCCCTGAGCTCTGTACCCCAGGCGCTCTGCTCTTGTCTCTTGCCTGTGAAGTTTTCTGTCCTGGGGACACTTGCTCAGTAACATTCACTGAATGGTGACGGTTGGCTGTTGAGCGTACTTGTTTTGGGGAGCCAAGTTAAGGTCTGAAGATAAGGTGAGATGAGCTTCTGTTGCAAGCTGCAGGTTCCCTCACTGCTGGTCACTCCCATGAGCGTGTCTGTCCCTGCAGGCTTCTGGGGAGAAAGTTCGAACAACTGAGACACAAGTGCTGGTGGCCACACCTCAGAAACACTTTCTTGCTGCGAGACTGAAGCTCATCTCTGAGCTGTGGGATGCAGGGATCAAGGTAAAGAGTTTTCTGTGGGGTTTTGGTACAGGTTGTTTAGCTCCAAGATAATTCAGAGCAAATTTTGCCTTAATGATTTGCCTTCTCTGCATCCTTCTAGGCAGAGATGCTGTACAAGAAGGATCCTAAACTGCTGAAGCAGCTGCAGTATTGTGAGGACACAGGGATCCCCCTTGCTGCCATTGTAGGAGAGCAGGAGCTGACAGATGGAGTTGTCAAGCTGCGAGATGTCGCAACAAGAGAGGAGGTGAGAATGCCTTTTTACATTCCATAGGTTGTATGGGTTTCCAAAGTGCTTCCAAAATCTAGAGATTACTCAAAGACTGTGGGTTTTCCCTCAGTGATGTTGTTCCTTTGGGGAGCTGTAGCACAGATCTGTCCGGTGACTGCTCCAGAAAACCAGTCACAAACTGCGTTGGTATCCACAGCAAGTCCTTAGGGCCAGATTGAACTGTGCTCTGCTCAGGCTTCCAGTGCTGCTACCTCCTTCTCTCCGTTTCTTTGTAGGTCGATATCCCAAGAGGAAAGCTTGTTCATGAGATCAGAAGAAGGCTGGAGCCCTAGGACTTCTTTCTGGCCAGAGCTGCTTGACTGAACTGCTGTACAACTGGAACCCTTCAATGCCCTTAGTTGTTCACTGCTGAAATTTGGTCACCATCTCCTAGCCTGAGGCTCATCTCCCTGGGCTAAGGCATTGTCAACATGGGATATCTGCTTGGAAAGGAGCAAGTGGGTTTTAAAAGTTATGGACAGTGCAGTCACCAGGTTAACTTTCTGGTTAACTACTCTGAAGGGTGAGTTTAGCTTGCGGGTTCCTAATATTGCAGTACCTCTAACTGTACAGCCCTTTCCATCTGCTGTAAGTGGATGTGGTGATGCCATGGGCACAGACAGACGTGGTGCAGCTCAAGCAGGATCAGGCTGAGGGCTGGAGCACACGTAGAGGAACCTGGGGCTTGTTGGGCACCCGCAGGCTCAGGGTGTCAGGAGAGGGTGGCAGCAGAAGGCCACCCCCACCCCTCTGAGGGCTGCAAGGGCCAGCCCCAGCCCCAGCCGGGCTCCCTCTGCCATCAGGTATGGGGCCAGAGGTGCTTGGGGCTGTGGCACATGCCTGCAGGCAATACGGGCCCCTCCTCAGGGTGGGACACCACAGGGGCTGGTGCAGCGGTGGGGATGAACATGGAGAAACTCTGTGGTTTTATATATTAAAACTCTGGTTTATATATTAAACCCAAAACAAACAGCAAAACCTCACCCTCGGGCCTTGATTTTGTCACCAAAATGGGACGAGAACTTACCGACACCAATGTGATACAGATAAGCAGAGACTTCCTTATTACAGCCAGATATGAAGGGGAAAAAATTTCACCACCATCACCCACCTTGCCTGCTGTGTTAACTCATAAAGGATGCATCCACGCATAATCAATAGACTCTATGTATAGTTTCCTGTAACTAATTAAAGTAACTTTGTAGCCCCCCCCCCGACTCAAAAGAAAGACCCTCCAATGACCTTGGAGCTGAGGGGCCTGTTTCATATAACAAATTTCTAAGGCTCCAGTGAAGTTTAAAGCAATAAATTTTCATCCTTGATTCACTTTAAACAGTGGAGCAGTGTTGGTGATCACTGGCTTGGATGTATTTTTAGTGAATAAAACAAACTGTGACTAAAAGTGCACCTGGGTTATCTGTAGGTTTGTTAGCAGCTTTAACATTTTCTCAATTGAAATTTAACATTTCTTTTTCCTCTATCCCTATCGCAACACCACTGGATAGACACATTATACCTTCACGCTTACAGGTAGCTTACATTCCACAAAATCCTGACACACAGCATTTCAGCAGGTATACACAAAGTCTCCAAGACCACATCCAAATGAAACTTTAACCCAAATTACTGTAACAAATTGAGCTCCGCGGTGCCGCCGCCTCTGTGGTAG